GCACTCGGGTCCAGCGGAGATCAACAGTGGAGTGAAAAGGACGCTACAGCACTAACGCAAAGGGGTTCATTGTGGCTTCTCTTCATGGATGGACGCGGTGCATACGTCCTCCCTCCTCACCGGTCGAGCCTACACTGACGGCTGCAACGGACAACGGAGGGAGACTGGCAAATAGCCTCGCCCGCTGCTAGTGGGGGACCGGTTTCGCCTGCTACACCTTTTCCTCGGCGATGGGATAACTTTTTTTTTTTTTTTTTTTTTCGCTTTAATGGTTCTGGTTTACGTGTCCTGCCTACTTCGACGAGTTTTCTCTTATTTCCTAATTGCTTTCTATTTTCTCTTCTTTTCTTTCTTTTCTTCACGTTTTTTCCTATCTGCTTTCTTTTTTTCCACTCGTCCCTTGCGAATTTCTTTTCCTCTTATCTGCTTTCTGTTTACTTTTTTGTCTTTTTTTTTCTTTTATACATTTTCTTACTTTTTTTTAGCTCGTCCCTCGCCAGTTTTTCTCCTCTGTTTTCTGTTCGCCTTCTTGCCTTTTTCTTTCTTTTTTACTTTTTTCAACTTTTTCAGTCCGTCCCCTCTTTTTCAGCTCGTGTTCTCCGCTCCACTAGGTCTTCCTCGCTTCGTTTATTTTGCGGAAATTGATCTTTTTTGTTACTTGGTCTCCACATTTTTTTTATAGTCTGTCTGTTTTTCTCCGGTGCTTGTTATGCCCCGAATCTTGAAATGCCACTTCCTCACCTATCCCGTAACTAATACTAGTGGTAATGATAACAGCAATAGTGGTAGTAGCAGTAGTATTGAGTAATAGTAGAACTAGCGGTGGTTATGATGGTAATAATAGTAATGTTGTGATGATTTTTCATTTCATCCTCAAAGATTTCTGTTTATTTTCTTAACCATATAATTAAATACAAATCGATTTTTAGTGATATTGTAATGCAACCATTAAAAATAATTAGTCAGATTTTAAAACCTAAATAAAGCACGGAAAACACTCCCACCTTTCTCAAAATCAAGACCTACACATATCACGTCAAACATCTCTCACACAACCCAAAGCGCCGAAATAAGTTACATACTTGCCCTAACTTAATGCAAACCACATTCTACATAACCTGTCTTCTTCGTTCTTGGCCATAGAAAACAATCTTAGGTTAGCAGTATGCCCCGACGAAAAGACATTTTGATTGCATCTCTTTTGTCATCTTGAGAATGTTGTTTCTCCTGCGTCTTAATCGCCTTGGTCGACGGCCAGTAAGATCCCTCGGTATCAACCTTCTCTTGTTTATTCTCTTTTCCATACCCTCATGAATGGCATACCTTTGCTGGTCCCACTGAACGTGTTTCCACTTTCGCCTGCATCATATCTCAGCTGATAGTGTAGGTGTGTATTCATAAACAGACAGATGGAGAGAGAGAGGGGGGAGGGAGAAAGAAAGAGAGGGAGGGAGGGAGAGAGAAAGAGAGAGAGGGGAGAAAGAGAGGGGGGAAGGGAGGGAGGGAGGCAGAGAGAGAGAGAGAGAGATTAGAAGCCTAATTAGTGCAAAATTGTAAATGCGATGCAATCTGCAACTGAAAGTACTGTATTTGAGGGTCAAGTGCTGCAACTGCAGATACAAATATTGTAATGTTCAGTCACTCAGCTTCAAGTCTTGAAACGTGACTGTAATATTTTGTCATATCATGACCTTTATCATTACACTGCTATTCTGAATGTTCACTTAGGTTTACCAAAGGTTTGATCAGCAAACTCATTTCATTTGTTCGTTTTACACGCTGTCTGTACCAGTTGTAGGACCTATGAAAATAACTGCTAGAAACGGGCACTTGACGCCGCACTTCTTGCAAGCATCGAATGGCCTACTTTCAACCGCCCCCCCTTCACTCCATCTCCTCCCATCCTCGCTCTGTCGCCCCCACCACCGACTACCTTCCTCGCCCCTCTCTTTTGGCCTCTTTGTCCCGTTATTCGTATCCGGAAGTGAAGGAGTTCGCAATACCAAAGAGGATTAGTTATGAATGTTTATGTCTGCCAGGATGTCGTAATGAAGGAAGTTTCCTTTCGTGTTCTCTCTCGGGAGTTTTATTTATGTATATTGTATCTTTTTATGCTTGAAGAATTTTCTCTTTTAGGTGATGATAATAACGCGCTGTAGCAAGGGTGGAGGCATCATTTAAGGTAACGTATTACAAATGAGTGAAAATATCTTTTTAGTCAACCAAGATAACACCAATGTATGCACTTTTTTCGGGAAACATACAAAAAAAAGAAAATTAACCCTCTGGAATAAATTATAGAGCATCGCCCGGAAACATACAAAAA